ATTATTTTATTAGTTATTAATTATTTTTAATTAATAATTAAATTAAAATAAAAATTTAATAACTTTTAATGACAATAATAAATTAAATGGTGATCATAACAATAGCCAAAACACTTCATTCTCGAGAAGATGAAAGCAATTCCACACTGCAAAGTCCCAGAAATATTGTGACTTTGACTTGCGGTTGTTTGGATACAACCGGAAAAGTAGTTTGGAATGTAAGTTAAGATCATCATCGTACAAGAATCAACAAACTCCCTTATTGATTTTTTTTTTTTAACTAATTTTTGAATATTTGATAATTATATTAAATCTTAATTAATTTAAAATTGAGTCGCATCAAACTTCATGATAAATTCTTTAAACACTTGTATTTTTATTTTAAAAATTCAAACTTGAGATTTTATGACTTTTTATTTAATGGTATATATTATAATTTTTTAAAATAAAAATAAAATAATAAACAAACAGATTAAATAATATCACAATAAATAATAGATAATTAAATTTGAATTCCATAAATTAAAAACTGAGATTAGTAAAGTTTAATAGATGGACCAATAGTTGACTTGTAGCTAGAACACTCTGGCGGAAAATTAACATTGCACTAATGAGTCCTAATAAGATGGGAAAGTTAGAAAGTTAGGCGGAATGTGTTACTTTTTTTTTTTTTAATTTGAACTAATATAAACAACTAAATTCAACTAATAACTTATTAATTTGAATTAAAAGAGTTTGATCATTTTTAAATAAAATTTTAAATTTTAATTTTATAAATGATAAAAAAGGTTTTTTTTTTTTTTAATGAATCTAACCTGACTTAATTTTAAATTAATTGAATTTATTGTTGCTTTGGTAGGAGATTAGTTAAATAAAAACAAAAAAAACAACGAACTCAAATCAATTACAAATTACATTATATGTACTGGTGTGGTGAACAAATCAAAGCGTAAGAGAAATCGAAGCATCAATTGGGCGTATACGTGAAGGCATACTACTGAAGGAAATGGAGGACACAATCCTTTTGTATCCCTCGCAGGGAAGAGGCCATCTTGTTTCCATGGTAGAACTTGCCAAGCTCATACTAACCCACCACCCTTCTTTCTCTGTCACCATCATCATCTCCGA